GGTCTAAGAGCCTGGAAAGCCCTGTGTGAGGGTGTAAGAGCTTGGAAAGGCTTGTGCGTGGATCTAAGAGCCTGGAAAGGCCTGGGGTGGGAGGGGGCTAAGAGCCTGGAAAGGCCTGTGTGGGGGTGTAAGAGCTTGGAAAAGCCTGTGTGTGTGCCTTGAACAGCTTAGCGACATAGGGTCAGGTTTTAGGATGTGTGTTTCTTTTTTTCTTTCCTTTTCCTATTTGTTTATTCATTTATTTATTCATGTATAAAAGATCTTGATTTCAAACTCTGACTGGCTTGGTATTCATGAAGTAGCCCAGGCAGGCCTCCAACTCAGCCACAACTGGCTCTAGAATACTGACTTAAGTATGTTTTGCCTTCTCCCTTTAAATTTTTAATATCTTACTCCGATTTTATTGAATTTTTAAAAATAAGCATTAAGCTCACAAGAGGAAGTCTCTTTTGATGAACCTTCAGAAGAAGAGGAAGTTGCTCTTATGCTTATTGCGTGGGGCCTCATCTGCTATTCTCCTGGGTGACAGGCCTCTGGCGGTGTCTAGCCCACCCTCTGCTCACCACCACAGCCCTACTTAGGACCTGGAACAACACCTGATACTCGGCACTCCAGAACGAAAACGCAGTTACTTCTTTTCTCTTTTTGCAAAGACTTCTCTAGTCTGAACTCGTATATGTATCCACTTTTAGCCGAAGGTGGTGGAATATTCTTGAAAGAAGGCAGGAAGATCATGATTTAAGGATCGTCTTCGACAACCCAGTGAATTTAAGGTCATTGAGGGTTACCTCACGTTACCAGCGTCTCAACATTTCCTTTGAAAACTAATTTTGAATCTCCTCGAAATCGTGCCTAAAGAAATCAAAGGGAAGAGAAATTGACTAACACAGACCCACTCTTGGCCATGTGACCTCCGGCAGTGGTTTTAAAAAAAAAGCAAACAAACAAAAAACCCAGAAAACAAAAGGCTCGCTCCTTAAGCTTTTCTTTTCTTTCTCTCTCTTAGAGGTGTGAGGATTGATAAGGACCGAGGAGTGAGCCAAAGCCCAGCCTCGACGCCTGGGGAACTAGAATGTTTTTCTCTGCTGAAGTTCCCACCTGGCATCTGGTTTCTGTACTCAGGGTTCCGGCATTAACTTCTTACCAATCCCAGAACTGTTGTTTCAGTGATCTACGAGCCCTGGCCCCCTGTACTGTACAGGGCGGAAGTCGCCCCAAGGCTGTTCCGCGACTATCAAACCACAATTCTACACTTTTAGCTTCGTTTTGCTATATAACCCAATCTGGCCTCAAAGAGGAGGCAATTGTTTTGCCTCACAAGAAACAAAAACAAACAAACAAACAAACAAACAAACAAACCCTCTCTATTTGGTGGGCTGAGAATGCTAGCTAGTGTCGAATTAAATCCAGATATCAAAAGGGAGCAAGGCAGCAAGGGTACACCACCAGGTGGGGAATTAGCTCAAATGGTAGAGCGCTCGCTTAGCATGCGAGAGGTAGCGGGATCGATGCCCGCATTCTCCAGTTTTTCATCTTTTCCCACCATACCTTGCTAGAGCAAGAGCAGCCTCCTGGAAGCACCAACCCCATCGCTCAAAAGACCCTCTTTAACTTAGCAGGTTCCCTCAGCAACCCAGAAGGGTCTAATTGTTGTCACATACTTTTCTATAGGAAATGGCCGAGTTGCTTGTGATTTCCCTCACGACTTGGAGAGCTGGAGTTTTGTTACATTCAAGGGAATTAATAGTTATGTTAAAACATGATCCTTTTATTCACCTATTTCCTGTTTTCCTATCAAGTTCTTTAGTTGGGGGGGTGGTTTCATTTTTGCTTTTACATTTCTAGGTTTTCTTTTTTCTTTTTAATTTATTTTTACGTTATGTGCATTGGTGTTTTCCCAAGGGTGTTAGGTCCCCTGGAACAAGAGTTGCAGACAGTTGTGAGCTGCCATGTTGGTGCCTCCTATCAAGTTCTTACAGCTGCAAGTAAACGCGCTCCCCTTTGTTAATAAGATGAGGACGTGTAGATCGAGCATAGGTGGGTTTGAATCTAGGTTGTTAGTTTATTTGCTTCCTTCCGTTCACCCTGGGCCTATTACCCGTTTTAGAATATCCCAGAATACCCTCCAAGATATGGAAAGAAATGTAGAACTCTGTCAGAGAAGTCTAGTCCAGGGCTAATACAGCTTTGAAAAGAAAATTAGACTATTTTTCTTTTGCCCCAACAAACTTTCAAAACACAAGAGATTACGGAGCTGCCAGTTCGGGCGGGTCTGCAACTAGCGCGGCCTCGAGGTTTTTTCTTGCTGTTAATTTAAGATCGTTATGATTTACAACAACAATTGAAAATAATTTGATAAGAGAATAAAAGTTCTGACACATGGGATGGAAGGTATAAGAAATTGCAAAGCAAAAAACCCTTGTACAACTTCGATCTAAAATCTTTGTCAATTACTTGATATTAAGGTCTGTCTGACCACAGTGTATCACAGTGTATCTGAGAATCACATTTGAGATCACATTTTTGAGAGCAGGAATAAACGCAGTTTAATGGGATTAGCACAAAACGTATTTGCTAATACGTTCTACTGATACTGAGATCTCTTTTGAACTAATCTCCTTTAGCATTTCTCTCTTAAAATTGTCATTTCTTTTCTAGCAGTGCCTTTTGTTTTGTTTGTTTTTAAGACAAACTTTATTGCCAGGACTGGCCTGAGATTTTTGGGTGATAAACCCGCCGCGCCTTGCAGTGTTTTAAAAGCCTTCGCAGTTCATTAAAATCGTCGGCATACCTTTTGAAATTAGAAACTCCTAGGTTTCAAATTATCTCCAGGTGATCCTGATATGCTCCGAGTTTTCCCAGCCCCTTGAAAAACAAACAAACAAACAAACAAACAAACAAACAGTATCAAACCACCGTAATATAAGACAAGAAGACTGAACAGACAGGATTTCCCTTGCGGCCCGAGGCATTGTGAAACTGAGGGCTGAGCCTGAGGTCCAGCTGCTGAGAACTCTCTGGCCACTGGAGGGCGCGCGTGCCCCACAGATTCCCCGAGGTAGTCATTCCCAGGCGCGCCGGGCGTTGAGGACACACTCCGGGTATAAGAATCCGAGCCAAGGGGACGTTCCAGGTCCCTTTTCTCAAGGCACAAGGATCTTCAGGGGGGTGGGATTATGTGACCTGTGAAGTCGAAGCCTGATTACGAGCATTAAAAATTACTACAGAGAACGATCTTTTAAAATTTATATCCATTTCACGGCACATCAAAAGTGAAGGGAATTCCTTCGAGCCGGATTCGAACCAGCGACCTAAGGATACCTGGAAGGTCTACCTACAGTCCTCCGCTCTACCAACTGAGCTATCGAAGGACCCACGTGTGCCTCCTTTCTACTGGGGATGCCATCTCTGCGAGAATAGAGGCTGTCTCTTCCTCATCATGTAAGAGTTGCCTCTTACTCTTTTATTTTATTCACTATTTTATTTTATGTATTTATTTATTTATTTAAAGATCCAGAGTCTCTTCAGAACAAAATTTCTGCAGCTTGGTGCCTTGGCCCCAGAAGAAAACGGAAGTTTGAAAACCAAGAAACAAACAAAACTATTGTGGACTTCGCTATGACCAACTTTTATTGTGGTGAATTTAAAAGGCCAGTTTTTGCCCCATCTATCAGCAAGATTTCCCTGGATTTCCCTGAGATCTTCCTGCCCCTGACTTCCGTATACTGAGGTTGCAGGCAACTTCATCCGGACCAGTCATAGAATCTTGCTGCAATTAGAGGTTAATATTTTTCAAATTTTGCACCAGCCCGGCCCACGTAATGAGTTTAGTGGCAGCCAAAGTGAGAGCCTATGTAAACAAACAAACAAACCATAGGAGAGGAGAGGAGAGGAGAGGAGAGGAGCGGAGGGGAGGAGAGGCGCGGGGG